CCTTTTTTTTTTTTTTTTTTTTGAACTAGCAAATGTTAAAAAAAAAAAAATGCTCATTCTCAGGAAAGAATATTTTTCCCACAAAAATGTCACGGTGTGTCCAGCCACGTGGTGCGGCCATGGAATAAAAAATAAATCAATGGAGCGGACATATAACACGTGGCTTTACACCTGTGTAAAGCTGCTCCTCTCCAGGGCACAGTGACTGCTCCGGAAGTGGGGAGCAGCTACACGCAGGTGTAGCAGTCGCGTGTCTGCTCGCTTGCTCTATGTTTCGTTCTGGAGTAAATCCAGGCTCTCCTACCATCTATCGGCCAGTTTCTGTAATAGCCTGCCTGCCTGGGAGAACCGGCTGCATGTCTCCTGTAGTGCTTACCGTCCAGGGCAGAGCTGTCCAACACCCTGCACCGCACAGCCCTGCTCCCTGGGCAGGAGGCAGCAGCCCGAGGAGGGAGACCAGAGATACCAGCTGCTGTGGAGCGATAGGGGAACCGGGGGCCACAGCGTAACCCCTTGCGGGCTGCATGCGGCCCATGGACTGTCATGTGGACAGCTCTGATCCAGGCTCTGGATGCCAGGTACAGACACATGCCTTTGGGGCTGAACTTTCCAAAAGGGCAGCAGCTGTTCCTGTCCCATGTGGACACGCAGGGGGCAGGTACAAATGTAGCAAACCTGCTCTGATTTTCACCCAAGCTGAAGCATGTCAGAGCTGAGCCATTTCAGCTGGTCTGAGCCTAACACCTGGGTGCAAACACATGCAGCAACTGACCTGCTCTCAAACTTCTCTGATTTGGACCCAGGCCACACCTGTGCATGAAGGGCACTGGCTCCAATACCAGGGGTGAGAGCAAGCACCCAGGCCACTGAACCTCATAGTGGGTGAACTGGGGAGTGCTCAGACTCCTGTTTTGGGGGTTCAGGGGGTGGTGCCCTGTGGCTGGGAGCATGCTCATTTTTCTGATTTTCCCCTTGCCTTCCAGCATGAGTTCAGTAAAGCTCAGCAGCCTGCACCCGACTGAACTCTGCAGTGTGCTTGCCTGACTGGGGGTGCTAGGGAGGGGGAAGCACTTGGACCCACACTTCCAGGGTGCCAGGGTCCAGGGGGAACTTAAGGGGGCCACTATGGAGTAGGGAGTGAGGACAGAGCTGGTTGTTAAGATGACAGCTTTGATAGCACCAGCAGTGCAAGGGAGCTCATTGATACAAAGGGTTAATAAGACTGAGAGAGAAAAGGAGGGCAGGAGAATTTGGGCCACATAGCAGAGCAGCCAGTTACAAGGTGGGTGGGGGATTGGGGAGCAATGCAATGTGGGATACCTAGAGGACTGAGCCGAGCTGCATGTGGAACACTTGGGGTCCACGTGTGAGCTGATCCAAGTCCAAGCTAGTGCTTCGTTTTCCGGGCGCACTCTCGAACCATTTCAGGCAGCTTGAAAAGGCTTGTACAGATGTACGATTCAGGCGTGATGTGTGCCTACGCCCAAACAGCACAGAACAACTGCCGCCCTTTGGAAATGTTCTCCAACAGCTCCAAGTGCACGTGCATCCATGCCCAGGCAGAACAACTGACACGTTTCTAAGTAAAATGCACTTGGAAGCGTTTTAGCCAAGGGCCATGCATGCACCTCCACTTTGGCGGCAACAAATCCAAATGCTGCAGCCTCCTCTACTGAGGCAGGGGCTGCAGTGACCTGTGGCTCTGCTCTGTGCACCCCCCCACTCTGAGATGTGTCGAAAGGTAAGGGGTGGGGGGTGGCAGGGAGCAAGGGCGCCTCAGCCTCCTCGCTGAGATGGACACTTCAGCCCCCATCCCCTCTACTCCTTTCACCCTCTCAGTGGAAACGTAGCGAGAATTGGCTCTGGAGCTGAAGGTCCCAGCTTGTGGCAGGTCCCCCAGCAATTCTAGGGCAGGGTAAACATCCACCAACAATCCCTTTCTGGAGTATCTGTGTGCCTGTTTCATTTGGAAAGGTCCCACAAAAAATGTGACCTTCTGCATTCCCTGCTCCCCAAGAGGTCGTACTTGATCTGGTCAATGAGCCTAAAATGCTGCCTTCTGCCTAGTGTCACATGAGGGGATGACCTGCTTCTAGACCTGTCTGGAGGACGCTGTTTTAAAAGCCCTGCCCTAGGCCCCAAATGTGAGAAGTGATGGAAGAGATAACCAGCATCCTGCCCCATTCATAATTGCTTCTGCCCTCCTTCCAGGAGCCTGCCTGTGGTACGGAAGGGAGCCTGTCCCAGCGCACTCTACATGGCTTGGCTGGAGATCCTCTCCCGGGACCTGCGTCCACCCATCGCCTTCATCCGAGGCAACCAGCAGGATGCCCTCACGTTCTACTGCCAGTAGCGGCAGTCTGGCAGGAGGGAGAAGGGACTGACTGGAAAAATGGGGTGCAGCCAAGAGGGAGCGGCGGGGAGCCAGGACATAGGAGTTGTGTGCCAGTGCTGGGAGCAAAGTCTTGTTGGATTACAGCAGAGTCTGGACTGCAAGCTCAGACTCCTGGGTTTTATCATGCAACTTTGGGTCCATTGGGTTAGACTGGGGCCGGTGAAGGTGCTGGGAGTCGGGCCCCCTGAGTTTTGTCCCCAGCTCTGGAGGAAAGTGGAGGCCAGGGGTCCTAGTGACTGAAGCAGGGTGGGAGGACTTCAGAACCAGGACTCCTGGGTTCTGTTCCAGCTCTGGAAGCGGGGTGTAGTTTAGCGAGTTGGGCAAGGGGGATCAGCCAGGAGTCTATCCTCAGCACCTGGCCCTAGCACTGAAGTAACTACGATTCTCTGCACTGACCAAATATCTACAATATGACAACACCCATTAGGCAGGATTCAGGCCCGCAAGCCAGTCTCCTCCTTAGGGCCAGGCCTCTCTAAGACAGTGCAAGCAGGAAGCTGTTGTACCCCAGCCTGTTTAGCCTTCTCTCCGACTCAGCCTGATGGTGGACGGGTATGAACCCTTAGTCTACTTCTCTCCCTCTCTCTCTCTGTCTACCCAAGTGGGACCTGCTGTAAATATTAAATATTCTTATTTAAAAGCACAGAAGCCTTGTGTTTGAGGGCTGACTCAATGCGACCCAGGGATTGAGTCTTGTTGCACTAAACAGAGCTGAGAAGTCAGGCTGAGACTGGCAGCAACTCGTAACGCAAGTCAGGGCAAATTTTGCTGGGTGCCAGGGTGATGCTCCTTGCCTTTGTGCCCATGCAAGGGAGGAAGGAGGTCAACACAGCTACAAAAGCCAACTGCTTTATTCAGAACTTAAACAGCCCCAACCTGGGACCTGGAGGGAGCCCAGCACCTTAAATTGGAACAGCCCCCGGCTGTGCCTCTTCTGCACCTCACTCCAAGAGTCTCTGGGTGCAGCAGCTGCTGCCAGAGGCCGCCTTGCTCGGCACGGCCAAGGAGTTAATCACGCCAGGTCACCTCTACTTCATCTGTGCGGTACCTACAAGGCACAGACAGGCACATGCAGACTTGGGGGTATCTGTACCCCGTGCCCACTTGGTTCCAGGCTCCCCCAGCACTGAGGACCCCCTGTGTCTACAGCTCGGCCCCTCCTCCCTCAGGCAGCCTGGTCTGTGAATGAAGGGAATGACTACTGGGGCGGTCTTGAAACCAGCTTGCCTCCTGCTGGAAGGTTGGTCCCAAAGCCTCCCTGCTCCAACTGGTAATTTCCCATCCATGTTTACTCCTGGCCAGTTCATCCCCAATTACCACCAAGCCACGAGCTCTTCTTCCTCTTCGGTGTTAACTAGATCCCCCTCTCAGCCTTTGTTTTACCAGGTTAAATCAGCCACGCTCTTCTCGCAACTTTCCACCCCTAACCCTCCCAGCAGCCCTTCTTTGCACATACTCTAAATCAAGATTATCAGCTTTGAACACGACTACACACCAAAGCCCTGATGAGGTCTCACCAAGCCAGCATGCAATAAACAGCACTGATATTTCCCTGCCTTTGCTGAAAGTACCTTGCATGCCACCTTCATCCCATACCTCTGTGTGATCCAGGAATCCTCCAGCGCGGTCACCTGTCCTGAACGAAACATCTCCCAGCCAGCCTGAGCAATCATGGCCCCGTTATCAATACAGAACCTGGGTGAGATGAGAGGCGAGAGATCCTAGAGGCAGCAGAGAGTGGGGTTGAAAGGGCTGGAGAAGGACGGGAAGGCAACTCTCCTGGGCTCGACCCCAGCTATGGGAGGGGAGCACAGCCTAGAGAGTTACACAGGAAGGGAAGAGCGGTGCTATCTGAAGGCCTGGATTCCTGGGTTCCATCACTGGCTCTAGATGTGGGGGACAGGTAAGGACCCCAAAGCCCTCATAGCTTTGAGGGCCTTCCTCTTTTCCAGCTGAACAGGGCAGACTTCACTCTTGCCAAAAAGCTGTCTCGGCCTGATGAGTACCCTGAACCACAGAGCTTGCTCACTGTAGCGTGGCACGTGCTAGGGCCTGCTGCTGCTCACTGCTGGTCTTTACCTCTCATCTGTTGCAAACAGCTTGGCCCCTCTCTCTGCACACATAATCCCCATCATCTCCTGCAGCCGCAGGTTACCTGGTGAGAAGAGGGGGCAGGATTAGAGTCCAGCCAGGTCACGGTTCCTGTGTAAAATCACTGGCCACAAGTGACACAAGTCAGAGTGACTTCAGCTAAATCCAGCCTCCACTCAAATGGGCAGTCTGGTGCCACAGGCAGCAAGTGCCCTCCAATCACAGCCTGTCTATTTCCAGGTCCCCTGACCCCCACATGCAGGCTGGTGTTTGACACGACAGATCCAGTAATGCATCCTGTGTAGCTAAGAGACCCCTGTAAAATGGCAGGCAGACAGGGGTACGACAGCGACTGAAAACTGTTGCTGGGGACAGAGCAATTCTGGGATTCATGGGGAGATCTGTTCATGGGGCAGGTGCTTAGCTGCAGGTTATGTGCGCAGGAGGGAATTTGGCATCACTGTGCCCAGGGTGCTCTGTGCTGGGGATTGAGAGGGTGCAGTCCGGAGGGGATTCTTGGGAAGACAGCAGACTGGGGGGGCTTGACTGCCGTGGGAACAAGCAGGACTGGGGGAGGGGGGTAGATTTCCAGCTGTGCAATGTATCCTCACCCCCGCAGGTACCTACAGCCAACTCCGCCCACAATGAGCACCTCCTGGGAGCCGCAGTGTGCCATGGCCCGCTCCGTGATCTCCACCAGCATCGCAAACACCGTCTCCTGGGGTGGGGGGATACAATGTACACAGCTTCAACACTGCCCCTCACTACACTCCAGCAGCTCCCTGCCGGCCCAGGCTTCCTCCGTAGCTCTGCTTGTGCTAGTCACTTCTAATCCAAAGCCTCTTCTGAGCCAGACTCCACTTCCCCACAGTCCCAGCACTGCCTCCCATTCCTGCTGGCTCCGGCTCCCTGCACAGCCCAGATGACAGTGCCCTTTGCTCCTGACCCATAGTCACTGCTAACCTGGCTCTGAGCTCTCTCTCCCCTGACCCACAGCCCCCAGTCGGGCAGGGCAGCTTCTCACCTGGAGGGAGAAGCAGAGGTCCTCAGGGGTGCACTCTCCTGATGCCAGCATCTTATGAGACACTTCCTGCAGGGGCAGAGAGAGGGAGTAAGGGCTCCTGGATCCTATCCCCCAGATCTGGAAGGGGAGTGGGATCTAGTGGTTTGGAGCCAGGACTCATGGGTTCTTCACCTCTATGTGGGATAGGATCCCTGAGAATGACACATCCATCCCCTTCACCGTGTAGGGAAGCTCCACCAGCTTCTGACCTCTGTGGAGAGAGGAGACTGTCTTACTGCGTCCGAAAGCTGGGTACAGACCCCAGGAATCTCAGCTCCCAGCCTCCCCTGCTCTACCCCATTGAAACCCACTCCACCAACTTCTCTCTGCAGCTGGGGGAAGGCTCCCAGCAGCTGGACCCTGCCCCCACTCCAATCCACCAGGCCTCGTGCTTTGCCACTTACTTTTTTGCCATCTGTTCAATGTTGTAGCCAGGACTGGGATCATTGGAGATCTAAAACAGACAACAAAGAAGGGATGTTTGCCTATGGGAATGCAATGGGACTGCAGTTAAGTAAATGGCCCTCCCTGCTTCTTCCCACCCGTCCACAGCCCGGCCACCATTGGGAATAAGGTCTGCACCATCCTGTTCACCCTCGGTCTTTCTATTAGTATCCTACCAGATCTCCCAAACTCACTGGAGCAGGAAGTGGGGCATTTACATTAACACAAGGGTGTCAAATACACAGCCCTAGCATCCAGCCCTGGGTCTGAATCGACGCTGGCTGCCCCGTGGGCAGTGCCCAGGATACGCACCGCAGATGGAGCCCGTTGTGGTGCTCCAGGAACAATGTGTATTGCAAACTGCGCCCAGTCCAGGCCCCACTCTGCACAACATCCACGGACGCCACATGCAGCATGGGTCCCAGACTGGGACCAGCCCATGGGGCAGCCGTGTGGTGCAGGCCCTGGAACAGCCACTGCATGCAGTGCAGCACCTGTTGCAGCTGGCTCAGGATCTGTGCTACATGTGGCACCTGCTAAGGTGGGACTCTGCTGTCTGTAGTGCCCGTCCTGGTCACCCCTGCACGCAGCGCAGATCCTGCAAGGCGGGAGCAAATGCTACAGGTGCTGGATCCAGCATGGGGGAGAAAGGAGGGCCCAGAGCAGGGGTAGGCAATTATTTCTGACAAAGGGCCGCTTACTGAGTTTTGGCAAGCCATTGAGGGCCACATGACAGGCAGCTGGGGAAGATAAATATTAATTTTTTAAGTGTTTTAGGGGCCCCGTGGGGACGGCCCCTTCCCTTCTCGCCTTGAGTACGCGGGCAAAGCGGTCCAGGCAGTTGCCCACGGCGATGTCGATGGTCTCCCCGAAGATGCGGTAGCGGCGCTGCGAGTACGCGATGACCTGGGAGCACAGGGGAGGGGAGAGGCCAGTGAGGACGAAGCACGGGTGCCGGCGGGAGGAGCTGGAGCCAGAGCCAGAGCCGTACCTGCGTGTTGCCGCCGCTGACGTACAGCACGGTGGGGTCGCGGGCGCCCGTCACCAGCCGTCCCATCTCGATGTGGCCCACGCAGTGGTTGACGCCCAGCAGCGGCTTGTCCCACAGCTGCGCCACCGTCCGCGCCACCGCCGCCACCACCGCCAGCGGCGCGCCCATGCCCGGCCCTGCGGCGGGGACGGGACGACGCATCAGTGTCTGCCCGCCCTGGCACCGCCT